TAGTCTATGACCGACCAATCAGAATTTAAGATCAGGTGTAACGTGAAAATCACGATTTTTTCAAGAAATCGCTCGTAGCTCAAAATTTTGCTTATGAAACTACTTTCTGCGTTCTAACAAAAAAAATTCCATGCAAAATTTTGGGTTAGAAACGTTTTCGCTATTGCACATCGCTAACCCCAACTCTTGACCCTAACCCTAAACTTAATGCGTCGTTGTTTTTTTTATTGTTTTGATTTCACTGATTGGTCGGTCATATGACTAGCGATGCATCGCACTGGAAAATTATAAAATATTTAAAAAGAAGAGTATTTTAATTTTTTGTTAGTAAATAGAAAGAGACAAGCTTAAAAAACTTTTCAAAAATTATTTTAGCAAGCAAATTTGCTTGCTAACGGTTTAAGGTTTTATAGGCTTTAAGGGACCCAAGAAGACCCGAAATTCATTTTAATTTGATATCATTATTATCAGCGACAATAATTGATAGCACAAACAAGATTCGTAGAAGTCATGTAGGCAATAATTATTATGCGTGTATAAAATTTTTATTACAAATTCATATTAAAATATTTTAATATAAATTTATTTGGAATTAAACAAATCAATCTAGAGACTTAGTCAAGTAATTTTAATCCAAACATCTAATGCACCAACTTTTTTTTGGTATTAATTTTTAATTCATTCTGTGAATTAAATGATTAATACGATCTTCGCGGTCACCAAAATCACCACCTTCAACATAGTGCCTGAACTTCCTGGTAGCCCAACCACCATTGGGATTGGATAGCTTGAAAGGCCAAAGGAAATTGCTTGCTTGCTTAAACTTTACAGAAAAAAATAAATAATAATATATATTGATTAAAAATATAATTGAAATAAATTTAAACTCATAAATACTACAAGAAATTGACTTACATTTGGTCCAACTGTGAAGATCTCATGAACCAAGTCTTCGATACAGATGATACCAAACTTTCCCAAATTTTGTTCAATAATAGCATTTTCGGTTATAGGAATGCGTTGCTTGTTTACTTTAGCATAACCACGTTTGTAAATAAGTTCGCGGACTGACCTTTCAGTTAGCACATCAGTATCAAATGCTTGTTCTTCTTTAAGTAAATATGAAATATATTAATTATATCGCAGTAATACGAACTTTAAATTAGGTTCACCAAATGCGACATAGGGTGTAACCAATTGAAGCATCTGCTTGGTTGCCTTAGTCAATCGAAGAAATACGCCGTTATTGATTTGGAGAAGACGTAAGAGTTGAAGAATCTTACGTGGTTTAGGTGGAATATGGTTGATACTAATTTTTATAAATATTTATGATTTTATTCAGTAATACGTTATTAAATTAGTAGTCAAAAATATATTGGTTTTTTTTTTTTTTTTTTTTTTTTTTTTTTTACCCCTTAATACGGATAACAAAGGCTAACTTTGGTTGAGCAGGGACATAATAATTGCCACATGCTTTAGCTTGACGACGCAAGCGGATTTCTTGACGTTCGGCTGCTCGATATTCTTTGACGTATTTTTCAGCACGTTTAAAAATTGTTCGGCGGGTCTTTTTGGCCTCCTAATATTTATGTAATTATAGGTATTTTAAATAAAAAAAGATAAAGTATTTAAACTGTATATTTCTTTATCATTACAATGTTAACAGTATCTTTGAAATTTTGACATTTATCAGCCCCGAAAGATGGTATTTGTGTAAATCAACATTGCCTTAGCTAGAATTACTTGAGGGATAAATTTCCCTTTATCATCATATTAAAATCTTAAATTATTTATAAACTTCAATACTATCCATATTATACCTTGCGTTTTTCTACAAGAGCGGCCGCTTTTTCAGCAGCGATCTTATCCTGATTTTTCCTCTTTTTCAGAAGAGTCTCAGGAACACGGATCTGCTCAGCTGTAGCGACGGTTCTATAATCAAAAGTTATAGGTTTTATACTACAAATACAGGGTACACGTATTGGATAATGAATGATTGTCCAGATATTAAACTTACAATCCGCTGGTCATTGTCAATGTAAACTTTGAGAGAGGAAGAACTTAGTCTCTGACTATTTCCAAATTTTTAAGATTGTGAAAATTTTTATCAAATATCACATGATTGATAAATCTTCAAGGGAATTTAAATTGACCCAATCAAAATGCAGAATTACATATCACAAATAATCGAAATCTCGGTTTATACTATCACTGTCTGAAAAATTTTACGTTCCGTATACCATAAGAAAGTTAATTTTTTTGATCTCAAATCAAGTATTTTTAAATAGTTCGAATTTTAAACTTGATTATGATTGGTCGATTAGTTTGGGAGAGCGTATAGACATTTTGCATAGAATTAGAGTCCTTCGCTCCGAACTAATAAAAAAAATGGGTTTATAAACTAAAAAAAAAAAAAATCGAAATTTTTTACATTCATATAAGACTGTTTGAAATCAAAACTTCGTTTAACGTCATCCCCCTCCACTTCCGAAGCTCCCCCTCGAATTAAACAATATGAGTATAGTCTGGAAAATTTTGAGGCAGATCGGTAAATCTCGGGATTTATCGTGTTTAAATATTGGTAGGTTCAAATTTGAACCTAAATTTGGATCATTCGAGCCTCTCCCTCTGCACAAATTCAAAAAAGAACGTTAAACTAAGTATTAAATTCAAACGACCTATTCATGTTTTAACGAGCCATTGTAATACCATTTGGTATTGACTAAAACACTGATATAAAATTACTAATAATTAGAGATGACAATATATATTTAATTGAAGATATAAACTTCTTTATTTTGATGATGAAAGAGTAACCGTCATGCAAACGTTTAGTCATTCTGTCGTTCAGTCATATTTAGATAGCTGCAAAGAATCCAAGTTTCTCTATAGGTGTATTTCGTTTTCGTTTCTCGTTTATATCATATTCTTCCTGATAAAGCATCTTATCCAAACTGTTTATTAGGCTTTGTCCTAATGATCGTCCAGTCTAATTTTTTTTTTTTTTAAAGGATAGTGGCAAGGTTTATCAAAAAAAATCGTTATAGTTGATAACCCTAATTTTCCCCTTCTCCAGAAAATAAACCTACTATATCAAGAAAATTAAAAGGCAACATTCTTTAAATAACAAATATATACCTGAACCATCTCACCCAATAGACTATGTTCAATGCTACCGCTTCCACTTTTCTGTAAGCCGCAAATTTTACCATTCCTGTTAACCATTACGTGCAATTTCGCACCGGTGGTGAGTTCTTCCAATGGCGTTGCATCAACAATATGGCGAGAACCAATCTTCACATAAGAACAGAGAGACAGATAGAATAATCGATTATAATTGTTAATGGCCGAATAAAAATTTTTCATAAAAATTTACCTTATTTAGGGTAACAGAAATTGGTACTTGTTCCCAACCTTCAATCCTTTCCCACTCTTCTACATCATCTGACAAATCGAATTCTACATCACCATCACCAAGATCATGTATGATTGCCTTAGGAACTTGTGTGTTAAACAGGGCGGCTCGTGTGGTCATAAACATCGTATCCACTATATTACCAGCGTAATCTAATACCTAATAATTATTAATAATTAAAAAATAATAATAATACGCGTCATTCAGAACCAAAAATGGTAAAAGTTTACCAAAGCGTCAACATAGACAATCCAACAAGCTTTTCCTGGAATAATACATAATTTTTCGAGGTTTAGGCCACCCTGTGGACCATTCAAAACGCGAGACATCATCTGTGTGAGTTCATTATTTATATCATCAGCGCCTCTTCCTGCAAACTGCTGTGATGCAATCGGAGAACTACAGGACTTAAAGTGACTTAGGTAAAAAGCAGAGAAATAATCTATTCCAACAAATAAGTGTTGATGCAGCCTACCATTCTACATTACATACTACCCTTCCCCTCTTTGCCTTTAGTGTTGCTACGTCTTCGTCAGCTCCATCAATGTCCACATTTCCAATATCAACTTTCACGCCAACTAGTACGTCAGTTCCTTCTCCTAGTCTACACCTAGCACTACCATGCGCCTGAGTAATAAGGCCAGTTTCTAATACAACTTCCCGATAATCAAGGCGTCCTCTTCCGTCAGCGCGAAGGTTATCATCGATACCTCGAAGTATATAATCTGCTTCTAAGGCTGAAATCAGTACTGGCGCCATTTTTTTAAGTATTATAATCAAATTATCGGCTTCGTTTAGTGGTCACCTGAAGAGAAAAAAAAAATTTATACGGTGTGACATCACTTTGGATCAGTTACACAACTAAAAATCAACGTTAAATAAACGAGATTTTACATTTATAGTTTAATTGCTGATTCACATAAGAAGGATAGTATTTCATAGGCGCAAATTACTATTAAATTTATTATAATTATGAAATCTTCTTTTCCTCCATAGAAAACTATTTTTTTTATTATGCTAATATACTTTAGCTTTCTAATAAAAAATGTAGAAAAAACTTTTTTATATA